CTGAAGGTGTCGAACACGTGGGCTGAAGGTGTCAGACACGCGGGTTGAAGGTGTCGAACAAGTGGGCTGAAGGTGTCAGACACGCGGGTTGAAGGTGTAGAACAAGTGGTCTGAAGGTGTCGAACAAGTGGGCTGAAGGTGTCGAACAAATGGGCTGAAGGTGTCAGACATGCGGGTTGAAGGTGTGGAACAAGTGGGCTGAAGGTGTCGAACAAGGGGGCATAAAGGTGTCGAACAAGTACCACTGTTGAAGATGTATGAATGGAACGATGTGGTGGAGCAGGCCAGAGCCCTACAATAGTTCAAATACAACTCTTTCGTCCGGTAACTGGAGATTAAAATAAAAATACCAATTTGTAACATTTCGATTTGGGTTGCTAATGTGTGGTCAACAAAGCATTCAGTACAAATTTTAAAACGTATTTGAAATGAAATCCTGACAATTTGCTTTCAGCCAGTGCAATATTTAGAATTTAGAAGCCAATGAAATTTAGAATTATAGTTTTTTTAAAAAGATAGGCGGCATATACACATTTTTTTTCTTGGCTACCAGTTTGCATTTTTAAATCTCTAGAAACTAAACGTCATCATACGGCGTTATTCCTGGTGATGTGGTAAATTTGTCAACAAAACACGTTATTCCTTCTTATTCTAGCGTCTATGCAAAAGAAATGATCGCCATGTAAATCTAGAATATTTCTTAACACTCGTATTATATAAGGCGCTACTATTAAAGCATACATGATATATGGTGTATCTGTCGATGCCCCTGGTGTAGGAAGAGGGTGCCAAGCGGGCCGTCCGACCGGGGGTACATTTATAAAATATATATATATCGTAATATGTTTTAACATATATTCGAGTTTTGACATAGGGATAATCTATTAACTCATGTTCGCTATTTCACGTGTGGTCGTTATTAAACGTGTGTTCCCCACTTGACATATTGACAAAAACGCTGTGAAGCTTGCACCTGCTTAAGACCGAGTCGTGTATTGTTAAACAAACCAGTTGATACCACGTGACAGTCTGACGTCACCATAAGTAAGAGAGATGCATCTGAAAGAATTATTTGTAACCTGTTAATCAAGGTAAAAAAAAAAGGGGGGGGGGGCTTCTGAAGGTCTCCAGCAAGAGATAAACAAACAAACAAATAACATAGCGAACACATTTCTGGCATAATGCAAATGACATGCTGATTTCATCACAGGGTTTAAATTTGGCCACATTCTGTAACAGACACATGTTCTTGGTATTAACCCGATTCTGTAACAAGCACATGGTCTTTGTATCAACCAGATTCTGTAACAAACACATGGTCTTGTTGTCATCCCGATTCTGTAACAAACACATGCTCCTGGTATCATTCAGTCCCTATAACAATCACATTGTCCTGGCATCAGGCTGATTTCGTAAAAAACACATGCTCCTGGTATCATCTAGATTCTGTAACAAACACATTGTCTTGGTATTCACCTTGACTTTGTAACAAACACATGATATCGGTATCATCCCGAATCTGTAACAAACACTTTATTTTGGTATCATCCAGATTCTGTGACAAACGCATGGTCTTGGCATCAACCAGCGAGTGAGAGTAACGAGAAGGACAGACCACCCAAAATATTCTGCTTAACGTCCACCGACATGATAAGCACTTCATCGGCCATTCCTCGCATACATGAGGATAGAACACGTGATTTTAATTAGATCAATACCTATGCATACAACGTGGGGTTTGATTTTCGAATGTTTCGCTGTTTCCATTGACTGACGCATTTCCTACATGGATAAAAATCTTTTCTTCAACTGTTGACAAGAGTTCTCATAGTTCCAAAATCAGATCATGACTTGTGATTTAACAATACATTTTTTTTTCACTGACTGCCTGTGTGACGTGACACTCCTTATAATATCTTATAAATATTTCGCTTCTTGTGGGGCTGCTTCCTATTCTCAGCCTGCCCTCGCCCATTCTCAAAATGTTTGATATTAATATTACTGAGTTAAAAAAAAAAAAAGAAGAAGCTATCAAGCAGCGGGAGTCAAGGGTGACGGAGTTCGGGTAAAAAAAGTTCGATTTTTTCGAAGGCGATTATTATATTAATCAATAAAGAGCCACGTGTAGGGTTAAGGACTGTCTATAGGACTATTGTTTAAATGCTGGCAGATAGCATGCAGGACTGGCTTTAGGAATTTTCTTTACAGTAAATAAGAAATTAACGCTTAAAAAAACAAAAACAAAAACAAAAAGCACTAGGAGCCACCGGGTATTTTCTCAAAGACACCGGACGAGGTGTAAAAATCGTAACCCAGTTAAGCCTCAGTTCACTAGTACTATCACCCAGCTGTCATTTTCCCCGTGTGCCGTGTAACAAACATCCCAGAATCCAGTTTACAAACTTGGCGCACATTTTTCTAACACGTCACGGATTTTTAAAATATAAATTGACTTGGTATTTAATGATACTTAAAATATTTTTTTTTTAAATCTTAGGCGGTGATGATGATAATGGTCATATGTTCTAAAAGTTAAAATAAATTAAGTTCATTCGTAAATGTAACTGAATAGCAGATAATCAAAGTTGAGCATTACACACCAGCATTGGCTCTCAAACTCCCTAACACCTTGACCCTTTAATACAGTTCCTCATGTTGTGGTGACCCCCAAACCATAAAATTATTTCCGTTGCTACTTTATAAATATGTGTTTTCCGATGATCTTAGGCGATCCCTTTGTAAGGGTCGTTTGACNNNNCCCCCTCTTTTTTTTTTGTTTCCTTAAGACAACAACATTAAACGCCAACTTCTCCCAGAGTACTACATCATTCTACCCAACAGAGAACAGGTTTCAAAGTGTCTGCACATTGTGATTAAAATCACAAAAAAAATAAGAAGCATATTCTTAGAGCTAAGCGAATTACCACGTTAACCAGTGCGTCTATTATATCTTGTGATTTCAACTGATCACGTGACGAAATGGTAATAAGACACACGAGCATGGATCTATACACTGACGTCATATTCTGCAACCCACAAGAAGCTCTTGTAATTGTTTTTACATCGACTAAAATGAACTTTATAAAGGTTAAATAATAATAAAGATTCTGGAAACAGCATAGATGGTGCCTTTTTCTGGGTTATGTTGGGGGGGGGGGGGTTGCATTTATTCTTGCTCAATCAATAAAACAATCAACAGTTTTTGGTCTTCGCAAAGTTCCATTCTGTTTAATTAGGCTTATTTTTTGTTTCATTTACCTATAAACAATAATAGAAAAGCTGGTGGTAATCAATTATAGTTTCCTTAATTTAAAGGTGCACTTACCTTCTTTGTTATAGGATATTTCTGGCGGAGTTCATTAAAAAAATGGCCCGGTGAAAGTAGAACAACTAATTAATTTAAATGGCTTAATTAAAAAAAAACCACACACTTTGTTGATATTTGAAAGATTTAATCAGTTGTATTTAGTTATAACCCATGTGAGCTGAGATACCTTTGAGCCGTTTGATTAAAAAAAATTAAGTGCCTAAGGAAGATGGTAGCGTAAAGACGTATAGATTGGATTTGTTAATTTTCTAATATTCTTTGTTTCGCCAATTACTCCTGTTAAACTTTAATAGGAGTAATTGGCGAAACAAAGAATATTCGAAAATTATGTGCTGACATACCAATAGCATTTTGAAACTCAAAATTATTTCCAGAAAACACATGCAAGCATACCCGAATAGATTGTGATGTAACAATAAACTGTGACATATGTGTAGCCCAGCTAAACGACAAATCGAAATATTCCTTTCCCTCTGGAAGAAAATCGAAACTCATCGTGTGAACGTTTTGAAATAGTTTCCGAAGCTCATGGAAAACTCGAGTCTTGCGAGCATGCCGATAGAAGGACAGCCTTATGAAGACGATCTAGCGTTATCCGGGCTGTTCGCACTTCTCACGACTGTCGCTTCCCTACCGGGGCTGTTCGCCAACCTGCTCAACATCAAGACCTTCATCACCATGGGCCTCGAGGATGGGATCACCGTGTCCTTCCTGGTGCTCTCCCTCTCAGACCTCGGGTACCTCGCGGCTCAGCTGTGCGGCGGCGTCGCTTCCGGGTTTAACGTCCTTGAACTGTGGTTCAATTTTACCGTGTGGTTTCCCGTTCAGCCGTTCGCGGTGGCCGTGTACTGCCCCAACATAGCATACGTTGTGTACGCCATGACCGTGCTGACGACGACGTACCTCGCCGTCGTGCGATGCATGTGCGTGGCCAGGCCACTTCATTTCAAAAACACGTTCACGAGAGCGAGGACGGTCTGGACATTGGTTGTCTTTGCATTGGTCTCAGTCGGAAGCTACATCCCCCTGTTGCTGAACATGGGTATCGCCGAGCAGTTCGATGATGATGTCGGCGCCGTCCGTCCCACGCTTTGGTTTTCTGCAATCCGACCTTTTGTCAAGGGCTTGACTTGGGCAGCCAGAGACACTGTCCTGGCCATCCTCTCACAAACCGTTATTCCGATCTGCGTCTTCGTCATGACGCGTTGCCTTAGACAGGCTTCGAACTTCCGAAAGAGCGCATCAGGGACCAATGCTCAAAATTCAGTGGGGGGTCATTTAAGAACGGAAGGGGCTTAAAAGGAGATAAAAAANAGAGCCTAATAAGGAGATAAAAAAAGATCCTGGAAAAATTTTTACGGGCAAAGAGTTATTGGTCGTGCAACAAGTGCTGCTGGTGTCGACGCTCTACGTCGTGTGCAACACACCCAAGGTTGTCGTGATCCTCGCAGGGTTTCTCCAGCCCGAGTTTTCCCTTGGTAAGAGATACAACAACATCTATGTCGCAATGATAAGTCTTCGCGACCTGTTTGAGCAAGTCAACTCTTCCGTGAACATTCTCATTTATTACAAGTATAACCGGAAGTTTAGAAGCTGCTGTAAGATAGGACCCCTAAAGTCCTTCGGGGACAATTCTAACTAATATATTAAGCTGGTTGCTTAAAAAAAAACAAAACAAAATAAAAAAAAAACTTATTATCATTTTAAATTTTAGAAAGAAGATTGGTAATGTGTCAAGCATAATTAATTTGTTATTAGTATTTTTCTTTCAAAAAAGGTTTTAAACTGTGAAAAAATTAAATTAGTAATTTATGGGTTCATCCATTTGTAGAAAAAAATGGTGTTGGTGGACTTTAATTTATTTTTTTTAAATTAGGCATTTCGAAAGCTAACATCCGGTTAAATGTTATATAATCCTTGGTCGTTTAATGGACTAATGTTAACTTTATTAACATACGAATTTTTGATATAAAATAAAGAAATATTAAAACTGAGGGTTTTTGTTTTATGATCTGTGTATAAATCATAGTGTCGATTAGGTAAGTCATTACAGTTTTAGGTGCAACAGGTTCTTATCAGTATTGCTGCGTTTGAATTCTATAATGGAGTGAGATGATATGAGGGTGTGGTTAGATGATGTTTCTATCGGATTTCCGCAAGTCCCTGTGGTCAATCTTGGCACCATCACCCCAAGGGTTCATGAGTGGGGAGGGGCTTACACGAAATATCTCTTTTAATACAAAAAAAGAGGGTCGGGTGGATGAACTCTGACCTCAGTGTCTAGACCAAACAAATTATCCTTACAGTCGGAACAGCTTCCAATTTGAACTTTCAACATTTTCCAATAATCCATAATATACGTCATTTCTGGAGAGTTCCTGATCAACAGAGAAACTTCACCAATAATGTAAACAACCAGGAGGGGGTGGAGAAGGGGGGCGGAAATGTCTAAAGAATTGGTATTGCGAGTACATGAATCCAGGTTAATATTCGTTCCGGAGTCGTATAGATTTTTTTTTTAAATCTTAAATTAAATGACACAAAAATACAGAAGCCAGTGGCCAGTTTGATTTGTATTCGTATTAGGCATCTGGGACTGAGTGAAGCATGCGTGCCGATATCAGATGATCACGGAGCCGGGACACTCACTCTCCGAGTACGATGCTTTGTTATGAATGAACTCTTGGCGTAATGGCTTGGTCTTGGCAGTATGATTGTCAAAACCACGAGTTGTGTTTATCTTAATGCTAGGCTTGGCCTACATGTGGGAGGCTTGCTCTCGCTGAGATGAGATAGACTTATATTTTTTCAAGATAAATGGGACTTACATAATTTAAGGCTTGGATTTCCTCCCAGCGCTAGTCAGTCAAACACAGATCGGGCTGGAAGAAATTATTCGTAAAAAGTTCATGCAAAAAAATGCATTTGTTTTAAATTTTTTTTTTTTTTTTTTTTTTTTTTTTATAAGTTTTTTTTTTCTTGTTCTTTTGCTCAAAAGTATTTTTTCTCCTGATCATTTCCATACGATCAATAATTATAGCGTCATGCACTTAATGCCAGTTAATGAGTAGCCCCCATATAGGGCCGGTGTTGCCCCCATGGAGGGCCGGTCTTGCCCCATGTAGGGCCAGTCTTGCCCCCATGGAGGGCCGATCTTGCCCCCATGTAGGGCCGGTCTTACCCCCATGTAGGGCCGGTCTTGCCCCCATGTAGGGCCAGTGTTGCCCCATATATATGTACATGTATAAATAATGAAAGAGACTCCCCAAAAATAGAACATAGTCTGTAGAAAGACATTGTTATACAATTAACTGATTAAGGTTGAGTTATTTAAACCAAATTAAATAGTTTACATTGAATGATGGCAGTGTTTGACAAGGTCAATTTATAGAGAAGAATACTGAGAGTAGTCATGGAAGTATTAAATGTAAGCTTTGCAAATTGTCCCCTTGTCAAAGAAAAGTACGCTCTTCAGATCGTAGGCCATGAGTTTCAAACGAACTATGATCTAATAAACATTTTTTTAAAAATATGTATAATTATTCAATAGCAAAACTAAATAAGCCTCATCATGAGTGACATTTACAATTAGAATCCCTCAACTCTAGCTATCAGCGAAAAGTCGTGAATTTTTAGACATGCTTTAACACTGAACATAATAGTTTTTTTGAGAGAATCAGGATCTGTCAGTGGGACATTGGATACAAATTGGTTTCTTAACAGGCTTCGAATCTAAAGCAGTGGAGCTGTGTGATTAGCAGAACTTTGTCTATGCCCGATGCTTTTGATGCTGGCGAGCAGCAGTATGTTATATATGACCAATGTGTCTGGTGCTTAGTGAATCCTTTTTAATTTCAGTCTTGACAAGAATTCTATATATTCTTCGAAAAATGAATTATTTTGTGGGATCTTATGGGTTTGAATTATTGGCAGCATAAAACAGCATGTTCCCGGTGGCACATTAAAACCCACGACATAAAACTTTAGATCAACAATTTGAAGTTCAGTCAGTTTCATTTTGATTTTTTTTTTTTGATGGACTTAAAATAAAATCAATATAATTTCCGTACAACTTCAAATAATTGTGTATGGTCGGGGATAGGCAAAATGTAGACATTCTTGATAAATCCTCGCGCGTGATCACAAACGGCTGGGAAATCAACCAAAGGATAATTTTAAATACTGCAAATGCAATTTTTTAAGTTCTTTCAATAATCAATTAAGACGCCTTCAATGTCATTTTACTTTTAGTTGAGGCCTAGAAAAAACCAAAGTGACTGTAATGTGAGTTTATCTCACGACATAAATAGCGTTGATTGCTTAAAATGGAAACAAAAAATAACATATAAGTATATTTATTGACTGCAATGGCTTGCCGTAAGATTAGACGGATGGCCTGATCTGGTCCGCGGGCCGTGGACTGCCGAGCTCTGATCTAATAATGCTAAAAACCTGGCAGGCATAGAAAGCCTTACCAATGTTTACTTGTCAAAAGTACAGAGTAGAGGATTGTTTTGACGACTTGCGATTGAAGATTATTCTGCGCCTCTCCAGTCGAATCACATAATAACGTTGTTATGCACTGGACACCTCCCCTGATGGTATCTTAGAGCCGCCACAGCCTTGCAGAAACAAAAAATAAACAAACCTTGCTTTGTTACTGTAGATACGAAGAATATTATGGTCTGCTTTATGGTGTGCATTAGCGTGCGCATTTTTGTTGTGCAAAGGGATGTGCATTACGATGTGCAATAGAATGTGAATTTTGGTGTGCAATGGGATGGGGTACAACCCCTGTGCCTTTGGGTTCTAACACTCGACCTTAGCCTTCACCAGAATGCTGAGTGCAGATGGTATCTGTCAACAGTTATCCATCAAATGTGCAGGTAGATAAGACAAACAGGTGTTGTCATTAGAATGCACCGGGAAACACGGAACACGCGGCAGTGGGCGTGTCAATGAGATAAGCGCCTGGACATCGGCCTGTCACTCAAAAAAATTGCGGGAACTGCGCGCCCTCACAGTTACCGTACGTCGCGGGATGCGGCAATTTGCCACGAGCTAGTCTAGATTCCTAGATACACATAACGACATACATCATAGAAAGCGTCAGAGATAGTCGTCATAGATAGACGTCATAAGATGTACATCCTTTTGCAGTGAAGGACAAGACACAATTAACGTCATTCACTTTGTTTGAAGTTAAATTCCGCTGTTACCATCTCTCAAGAGAAGAAAATCTAATTGCACATTTATAAAAAAAATCTTTTTTTATATTTTTTATAGAACTTTTCTGTTAAAATTTAAGTTAAATAATTTGCTTTCAAAAAAGGTTACCACATTTCATCATCTTAAAGTACGACACGGGTAGCTGCTAATGACTCAATCATCTTAAAGTACGACACGGGTAGCTGCTAATGACTCAATCATCTTAAAGTACGACACGGGTAGCTGCTAATGACTCAATCATCTTAAAGTACGACACGGGTAGCTGCTAATGACTCAATCATCTTAAAGTACGACACGGGTAGCTGCTAATGACTCAATCATCTTAAAGTACGACACGGGTAGCTGCTAATGACTCAATCATCTTAAAGTACGACACGGGTAGCTGCTAATGACTCAATCATCTTAAAGTACGACACGGGTAGTTGCTAGTGACTCAATCATCTTAAAGTACGACACGGGTAGTTGCTAATGACTCACATTTAAAGTACATGCACCTAGACACGGGTAGTTGCTAATGACTCACATTTAAAGTACATGCACCTAGACACGGGTAGTTGCTAATGACTCACATTTAAAGTACATGCACCTAGAGACGGGTAGCTGCTAATGACTCACATTTAAAGTACATGCACCTAGAGACGGGTAGTTGCTAATGACTCACATTTAAAGTACATGCACCTAGAGACGGGTAGTTGCTAATGACTCACATTTAAAGTACATGCACCTAGACACGGGTAGCTGCTAATGACTCACATTTAAAGTACATGCACCTAGAGACGGGTAGCTGCTAATGACTCACATTTAAAGTACATGCACCTAGAGACGGGTAGCTGCTAATGACTCACATTTAAAGTACATGCACCTAGAGACGGGTAGCTGCTAATGACTCACATTTAAAGTACATGCACCTAGAGACGGGTAGCTGCTAATGACTCACATTTAAAGTACATGCACCTAGAGACGGGTAGCTGCTAATGACTCACATTTAAAGTACATGCACCTAGAGCTTAGCCACGAAATTCTTACACTATTTCACATCTCTGGATGAACTGCGTTTGAATGACCTCAGAGATGAATATATTAACAATTATAACTACGCTGTTTTCCGTTTTATGAAATGTTAAAATTTTATCGAAAAGAATGTTAAAAGTCCCAATAAATTAAGTTACCTACAAAATATCATAACATTATTCAAGTTTTCATCGCTTGTAGAAAATTATTTCCTCTGAAAAAAAAAAAAAATCTAGAGTTTTACAGCTTTGCTTATAGCTTACCTCCACAGAAATATTCAATGCCAAACTCATACATAACCAAACATACTTTAAATAAATAGCAATATGTCACATCAACATAAATGACCAGAAATACTTTGAATAAATAGCAATATGTCACATCAACATGAATGGCCAGAAA